ACATGAGATGGATTAAATAGGCGTATCAGCAGTCCGGAAGTCTGCTTTACACTTCTGGCTGTGTACCGGGGCATTATTTACTTTTCATTTTAGTTTAACGAGAACCATAATGATCTTTGGTCATGTAATGCACTACTGACTGCCTTGATTCTTCCCATTACCAATATATGCTTCAAAAAGCAGGTGTTTTTATCGAATAAATCCATCCCGCACACTTCACTTTGAAATATGATAGAAAGTTAATACTTCTAAGTTAATTTTTTAAAATAAAACWATCTTTAGTAGTAGAATAAAGCAATGAGACAATATTTTGCAACCAATTAARAACGGTTTTATTTAGCCCAAGCAATGGTCAGTAAACTGATAGAGGCTAGTCTTATTTTCATTGTTTTCTTTGTCTATTTGACTATCACACACTAACAATCTATAGTGAAGGCATTTAAYCCTTGAAATAAAAAATATCAGTTGACATGTAACAAGACAAATAGACACAAAGAAAACAATGGAATTATGGCCTAACAATGTGTATTAGTCTAATATCTATTTCACTTGAATATCAGAGAAACAGGCATCCCAGCMACKTTTTAGACAAATTTGATAGGAAATATAGGCTGTGCAAGATTTTTTCCCAAAAATATATGCACTTTATAGGAGCTAAGATAGCTTTTCGGTGGCGTAACCATGGATTGGGAGGGTGCACAGGCAATGATTTKCAGAACTAAAAAGCCATWAWAAAAAAAACAGAACCAAAAGAAAAAAAAAMMAGAAAGGGGCCATTTTATTTCCTTCGCCAAATATGCTAAACAGTGTAAAATATAAATGTATCAATCAGCAGTCGTCCTATTYATAGKAAATATAGGAGGTTTTCTTTAAAAATGTAGTGTTTAAAAAACGAGTAGGAGKGTTTTATCAGGCATAAAAGCACGAGGCGTWGCCGAGTGCTTTTATACCTGATAAAACACGATCTACGAGTTTTTTGAACTGCTTAAAACACTCATGAAACACTCAATTTATAAGATTTTGGTTCAACTGGAGCCACCATACACGTCACGAACATGGATTTTTATACTTTGACTTTTATACTTCGTCACGGGCATGCGCAACCACATTCAATAGAAGCTCCCACACGTTGGATATTGCGTGCCAAGGCAAAGACAGGCACGTTAGTCAAAGATCATTAGGGTTGACTATGACCTTGATGAAGCTCTGTCTTCATCTAAACTTGGATGCATACTTCATCCCTGATGAAGTCATCCTCATAGTATTCGAGTGGTCTTTATATAAAGATCACATGTGTCTTTATATAAAGACACATGTGTCTTTATATAAAATCGCTTGAATACTAATGAAGATGACTTTATCGGGTATAAAGTTTCATGCATGTGACGTGTATGGTGGCTCCAATTGGACCATAAGCGTATGAATTATTCATGAGTGTTTTAAAGGCTCTTTATAAGATCCTATACAAATTATAGGAAAAATAGGATATATAGGAGGTCTGGGATGCCTGGAGAAAAGAYGGAATTCAGGATAAAAAAGTTTTTAGCATTACTTCAACTCTGTCAAACTTTTGAAAACTTTATAATAAAGTCTCAAAGTCACTGGCTGTTCAACCAAGCAMAGCAAGCAAAATTTTATATTCAAGTCTAAAATTATATTAATACAAGATATTCATCAGTCAGACTTCCCCTATAGTTGATTGCATCATGAGTGGAAACTCTGCCTTCTAACATACAGTACTGTATATTAGGGGGCTGGTTTTAAGATTTTACACAACTTCTCAATCTAAAGGGGTGCAATTGCCCACCACCTCATACTAACACCAACTCATGATTGCTAGTACGTTTGATTATAGACATATAGGAAGGGCTATATATATCATAAATTATAATCGTTAAAGTACAGTGAGATATGCATATATGAATTAMCACAAAATGGACCAAACAGGAGCCTGTCAAATTTTTTTAGCATARCCATATTTTTATTTTATCAAACACAAAACCATTGAAGCAGTGGAAGATCTTCTGCTGCCAAAYGCAAGGTAAGTACCATTGTTTTGAGTTTTGATGTGTCTTTCTCTAATAGTGGGCTAACACTCTTATAGTAGCGTAGCCAATAACAATGCAGGATTTGTCATTGTCCAGCAGTTTGTTTATGATTTGGTTACATTGTCGACATCTAACTGGGACCACTTTTATAAATTTATCAAATCATGATGTAGAGTGAAAAATTTAGCCAATCAGGAGAGTGCACAATTAGTATCATATTAACTTCAGCCAATGAAAATGTCTTATTTCCAGGTTTGTGATTGGCTGTTAATAACAATTAATTGAATGACAAATTATTCTATACTTCCTTCCTAGCTTATTAACCAACCTCTTCTCAACATTAAAGTTATTCGTCAGATATATAATCAGATATATCAGATATATAATCAGATTTAGGCTCTGTCGCTTAGGGAGTGTTTAGAATTTATATGTTGGAGGGTTATGGGGATTTGAAAGGGGGGGCATCCATTTTATCATGTAACAATTATTAGAATGGGGGTGAGGGGCTTTTTTCAAAGCTAAATATATTTAATGTCTAATAAAGGTCTGTATTTTTTGGGGGGACTATTTTTTTGGCAGAGGGAAGGGTCCACTGAAAAATATGTTATGTTTGGGTTGGGGAGGGGGGGACCCAAAAAATTTTTTTTCAAAATGTATGATCCTCATAGCCCCCCACTCTYACCCCATAAATGATGAATGCTCTCCTTCTCCTGATTGGCTTGAGTTGAAATGCTTTGTTTTCAAAGTGATTGGTTRACTTGATTAAAGGGGTACCAGCCAGAGTCTCGGCACTGTAATATACATATAGCTATGAAATAAAAAGGCAAGCTTGAAATGTATGAATACGTTGTTCTGCACSTAAATGTCTACATTCTTTGCTAAGAAGGTATATTTTGAGGAGTATTGATTTGAAGAGAGTCTATCATTCCACCAAGTGCCAACATATTGTCCTCTTCCTGGCCATCACCAACTTTTATTGACTGGTATCTCTCCATAATTTGACCACCAGCCCAAGACGCATACTTTGCATTCTCACGCTTTGCCTTAGAATCTTTAGAGAAAGACGACAGATGTGAAGCTGACAAAAAGAATCCATACAAAGCCCTCAAGTTATCGTTGTCAAGCTTTAAGGATTGAGCGAAATACTTGCGAGATTTCTCCATGTTTTCAAGGTCACCAATGGTGTATAAGATCTCAGCGAAGCGTTGATGGTACAGATGATTGTGTGGATTAGCGAGGATAAGTTCTTCCATACAGAACTTGGCTTTACGGAGATCTTGTAGTGATATATAAAGATCGATTAACTCCATCCAAGCTTCTTGATCACTCATAAACTTCTTTAAATATTCATTAAGTTCTTTGATCGCTTCGGGAATCTTGTTCTGGGATTTCAAGATGGCGATCTTTCTCTTGTACGCTACGGAATTCGCGGGCTCTGCTTCTAGAATCTTATCGTAAATTTTCTCTGCATCTTCGTATCTCTCTAAGGCCTCTAACCTCATTCCTTTTAGCTTCTTAACTCGCATACTGCCAGGGAATTGTGTATTCAATTCTTTCAAACACATGGTGGCTAAATCAAGTTTACCACAGTCCAAAGATGCCAAAAAAACTTGCTCGTAGATCGTCCACAGTTCGTCTCCGAGCTTGTTTCCGTGTTCAAGAAGGAGGCATTCTCCAAATTCAACGACTTCTTCGCTGTTTCGTAGCGGTTCATCGCGCCATTGTCTCATTTTTTGTCGAGCTACTTCGATATCAACCACTTCGTCCGCCATCTTGATTTTTACCGGTATCAACTACGCATGCGCATTATTTAAACAATCATGTGATCACAGGTCAAAAATCAAAAATATTTTTCAAATTCCCAAAAATTATTAAAAAAAAGATTCTTTATCATTATTAATTCATTCTCTTTTCAAGTATTCTCCTATTTTGTGTTAAGTTTGATAAAAAAAAGTAAAATTCCGATAAAAATTTGTAATACAGAGATACAGATGTAATTTAATAGACGTGGAGAGGAGACTGGAACCAGGCTGACCGGAAATTCAAAGATGGCGGACGTGTTTTGATAATATCTCTCTACATTTATCTTCTTTTCTTCCCAGAAATTAAGTTCCAGTTCATTTAAGCAACATTAACCCTTAACTATTTGTCATATAAATTAAAGAAGGCTTTGGTTTATTTTTTTTCGTGTCAAAATGAATGTTATTTTAGCTGTAAAGCAGTATGTATCGAAAATGGTGGAGGATGCCGGACCAGGGATGAAGGTTCTACTCATGGATAAAGAAACGGTGAGTTTTCTAAAAGTCGYGAAAATATAACGCTTTTAATAATATTCCTGAAGTTCTAATATTCCTGTATAAATTTTTATTGGGTTTTCATTTTTTATATTTTGTGCAATATAATATATAAATAATAGTGATTTATAAGATTACTAAATATCATCTCCTAAGTGATCATGCTTGTTGTCTTTCGGAATTTTAAGAAATAATTTTTAGTACTGTAATCCATTGTATCTTGTAATGCCATTGAGTAAGATAGTGTTTCCTTGGTAAAACTTCAGAATACCCAACAATTTCGGACTGTTCCTATGAAAGGTTGGACAAGTGGATATGCCGGCACCTCCCCTACAACTTTATATATTTACAATGTATACAGAGTATGTTTGACTGGATACGCAGTCAACATTGGGCTACCCCGTCTCTATAGCTTTGAAGGTATATATTTGAGTTATACATGTATGTTTTGATCACTGACGGCATATCCAAGGCCCTCCCAGGAGGGTCAAATTTCTCATGTTCCCCAGTAATTTTTCTGTTTGTTCCTGTTGATAAAAGTATTCCATTATCTTGTTCCCTCAAAACCATATCCATGCATTCACTCAAACATGTAAATACGTGTACAGTACAGTATACCTGCTATAAAAGATATAAAGGAAAGGTGGCCTTCCTGACTGCATATCTGCAGATTTATTCAAACACATACCTTCAAAAAACACCTCCRTCGATTGTTCACGTTCTGATGTACATGTATGTCCATGAATCCTATATCTTGGAATGACCTATCTCCTACTGTATCGSCCATGAAGAGGTAATATAATTAGTGGTATTATTTTGCAGACTGGAATCGTAAGCATGGTTTATTCACAAAGTGAAGTAYTACAGAAAGAAGTTTATTTGTTTGAGAAGATTGACACACAAGGGAGAGAGACCATGAAACACTTGAAGGCTATCTGCTTTATTAGACCAACAAGGGTATGCAAGAACTACTGAAGAAATAGGAAAAAATGTGCTTGTATAAAGTGTCAACACACAGGGATTGGCAGAATGCATTAGGAGTGTTAAGAGAAGTACTGTATTGAYATAGTGCAGTTTTCSTATGACTGTGAAAAGTTTACAGCACGAACACGGTCGTGACACAGCAAAGGATACGCCAGACAAACCACATTGCAYGAGAATTTACTCTCCATCTAATCAAATACCCSGAACACGGCATAAACATGGCGCAGACATGGTTATGCCAAGATCACGGCACTTTTAGACCAATCATATTGCATRTGAAAGAAATCAGMCAATCAAAATTCTAAAAAGTATCACAGTCACGGCACGTCACACTTAYGGCACTGAGCTTTTCACMKTCATAYGAAAACTGCTCTATAATAGAGTACCACTCAAGACTTTTYGAGTCTTCTGCCAACCCCAAAGTGTTTTATGATGGTACATGTATGATGGTACAGTACACACAGTCTGTACAGTAAGCAAATTTCTATTTATTTTATGAAATACAAATTTAAGTTGTGGTTTTATTGGGTAGGAATACATGTGTTATGTGCTCTTATGAGCACATTGGGGCACACTAGCAAATCAGAAAGTGAGATAATATTATTCACATTTTCTCTCAGGAAAATATTGATCATTTATGCAGTGAACTGAAGGCACCAAAATATGGTTCATACTATTTGTGTAAGTACAGCTACAGATWTCTTTARAGCTCAYTCTTTTGGAATAATGTTTTGTCTTYKTATTTAATAATTATTCACTGAAGGYRAAGTGATTATCRGTGAAATATTTACCRAGCCATGAGTGTTCAAGCAGCGAGGTTWACATCACCATAATCAATGAGCCTGAGTTCTGCTTTAGTATGATTTTAGACAGAGAAAAGTCAAAATTCAGGATAAAAAACKTTTAAKTTTTACAGTACTTCTGATCTGGAAATTTTTGGAAAATGCATATTTTCATCGTTCCAGTGGTGATTATCATCTCAGAATCAACAGTCGCTCAACCAATCACAGCTTGAGAAACKCTATATTCMAGTCTAAAATTATACTAWATATCTATAGTCTCCAAGTTTTACCATAGTTGGCAATGAAGGGCTAAAAATAATGACTGGCTGGTCAGATGCTTGTCATGATGACGAGCCGAATTAATTTTAGCTTCATCATATGTCCTTTCTGGTTCAACATTACTAGTCAAAAGGACTGGCAAGTCAAAAACCTGACCGATCCAGGACAAGTTCCATTTTTGGCCTGACAATATTTGATAACTGCACATTATTTTAAGCCCTGCAATGTGTTTTATTGAGTAAGATACACACACACAAAAAAAAGAGAAAGCCACTACAGTGTTATTGCATGAATATGTGTTGCATAACCATTGTGGCTTAGCTTTGTTCRTCATGACTACACACAGTGTACTGTACTTACATACTGTATACAACTAAATTACATATACACCTTGCTAATGTAGACCTGTACTGTACCTTGGGCGTAATGTTTTCCCATTTCAGATCTTGGGTTCTTCTCTTGAGAATAAGAGTCGTTGTTTGGGTTGTATCCAATCATACAGTAATTATTGGTCTTCTCATGCATTATAACTCTTAAACAAAGAAATGATACTCTAGGGAATGACACATGGTCTGAAATGGGAAAACATTACAACCAAGGTAAAGAGGTCTATTACATCGGCACTCTGTGTTTTAAATGTCCCAGACATATAAAAGGTTAGTTTCAACTCTTACAATTTATTTTTTTAAAAGTTTATTAGACTATTTTATCTTATTGTGTTGACAGATTTCTCTAATTTCATCTCCAAACCAAACATCAGATCCTTAGCTGAGGCAGATGATCATGAAGTAGTTAGAGAAGTACAGGTAAGATCAATTCTGTTTTACATAATAACTAAATATTTGATGCAGAAGAGWGTGCCATTTGGTATAGTGTACTGTATGTCTGTTTTTGAATGTCTGGTGTAATAAAGCCTGACATGCAAAAGAATGTCTGCCGATKATGTATTCCTATACTTTATTGGTATGTTATACTGACACATTTGAAACTGGCAGTTTTTACAAATAAGGCATGGAAATGCTCATATGGCAGCAGAAAGCCTGTGCGTAGAAGTATGTRAGKGCATCATTTATTTGTTTGAYGGTTGCACATRAAAAGACACATGAATAAGGATACAACTAAAACTAAGAATTTGATTGACRTTGCGGCCCTAATACATGGAATGAAATATCAAACCAACAAATATTAATTTTTTTTCTCTCTCTTAGGAATACTATGCTGATTACTATGCAGTCAGTCCACATGTATTTTCATTCAACATACCAACATCCATGAGGGTAAATAATTATAAGACAAGCTACAGAAGCTACCAGTAATCTTTGCTTGTTTGTTGTGTTAATTCTATTCTGATTCTAACTCCACRTTTTTCCATAAACTATGGATCCATTGACTTGGTTGATGCAGCAGGGTTCTCAATAAATTTTGAAGTAATGAAAAAAGATAATAAACTGCTSGAGTGTCCAAGCAGGATATTCATTTAAGTTTTGATGTTTTAGCAGTAAAAATCTTAACCAGGGAACGTCTCACAAGCAAGATTCATATTAATTTTTGAAGCAACAAATAAAACAGTTCCAGTATGCATGTAGCAGCTCGCATATATRCAGTTCGCAAAATAATGAAAACTACTATATGTTTGGACTTGTTTTGTTAACTGAAGAATTTTTTTTGAGCATTTGTTTTTCCATTTTTCTGTAGGGTGGTCAGTGGGACATAGATGCATTAGACAGGGTATGTCAGGGTGTTCTTGCTGTGTTGCTGTCCCTCAAGAAATGCCCAATGATCAGATATCAGAGGTCATCAGAACTGGCTCAAAGATTAGCAGACAATATAAGAGTGAGTATTTTTTCCCCCGCTTTAACATGTGAGTAGAGTCTCTCCCTTCAGGGTCCGAAGGGGTATTCCTGGAGCTGGAAAACGGAAAAAATAAAGTGCAGTATCCAGGAAACTAGGGTAAAAAATATATGATTGTGGCCTTGACTYGGGAATTGCCAATTTTTTTTTTGTGTGTAGCTTTTTTTCTCATTTTTGATTTTCCTGGGAAGCAGGATTTTGWGGGGAAAAAAGCACACGATTCGGGATCTGGGGCCCCCCTTCCAGACCCTGTTCCTTGATCAAGGGTTTTCTCCAGTTTTCCTGGAGCCCTCCACAAAATCTAACCAGTTAAAGTCCTATTCCATCTGCGAGTAAGCTTTTTCCAGACTTTGAACAGCTCAGAGGTTGTATCAGGATTCGATACAATTTAAAGGTTTTAATAGGAATGGTAAGCTGAACACTTTTTCTTTTGTTTAATTACAGCAAAAGATAAATGAAGAAGCCAAGTTATTTGACTTCAGAAGGACTGATGTTCCTCCATTGCTGCTGATTCTGGACAGACGGGATGATCCGGTTTCCCCTCTTCTAAACCAGGTTTGTAAAGTTAAGGAGAGCAAACTATTCCTGCTGCAGTACCACAGTCTCCTGTAGACAAATAAAATGTCTACAGAAGACTCTGCTAGCAGGGAAAGTGAAACAAGGCACCAGTGGCTAATGAAGGGTTTAAAATGATCTAAATAAATGATGGGCAAATAAATGGAAAGCCAAACCACCTTGCTTAACATGCTAAATTCCAATTCAATCTGTGAGTTCGTCCTTTTTTKAATTTGATCAGCCCAGAGGTTGTTTCAGGGTTTGATCTGTGAGTAAGCTCTRTCCTGACTTAAATCAGCCCAGAGGTTGTTTCAGGGTTCAATCTGTGAGTTAGCCATGGCCTGACTTAGATCAGCCCAGAGGTTGTTTCAGGGTTGGATCTGTGAGTAAGCTCTGTCCTGACTTAAATCAGCCCAGAGGTTGTTTCAAGGTTCAATCTGTGA